TCTGAACAAAACGGATTTTTGATGATGATATTAAGGGATTTTCACTTGAGTTTTAGTTTCTTATAACAAAACTGACACGCTTCTTCTTGTGTTTGTTGTTTGATCTTGTGAGATTACTTCTGCTTCTCCGATTCTGTTTGAGAAGATGATTCTGAGTGGTGATGATCCTTTGGCTTGGCTGGAACGACTTTAGCTGGGGTCGAACGCTCTGACTGAGAGGAGCGGATCAGGATCTGCATACAGAGAGTGACGATACCTAGACCAAGAGCAGAGAGCGCTATGCCTTTCCATGAGGAAAAGAGTTGTGCCCAGTGTAGGAACTTCATTGCTCCAAGAGTTAGTAAGCATGCCCATGATAGAACCACCTGAACAAAGATGAAGACATTTTATGAGTTTATGGATGGACCCAATAGAATGTATTGAGGGACTGGACCCACCGCGAGGGACTTTATGGGCCGGCCAATGTTCTGTTCTTGCTGACCGGGGAAAGTGTCTGCAGCTATGTGTTTGTCTAACAGCGCATCCTGTATCACAGAGAGTGTGAAAATTAACATTTTCCTAAGCTTCTCTCTATTGAATTTTGACCAAGTATGGTGCCCTAAACAGGAAAATCAGTTAATCCATAGTATTTACCTTAGCCACAAATTGATCTCTGCACCACTGTGCAATTTCTTCTTCTGATTCAGGCAAGTCTTTCATTGAGTGACACTTGATGTGAACATGCACCTGAAACCAGCAGGTATGTGTTGGAGTAATGGGGTCAGGAGTTGAAAAAGCTTTGTTTGGGATGTGATGAGGCCTATGGTTTCTTACACGTTATGCACACAAAGATGGAAACCAATCCTTAAACCAGCAATGCACAAAATAAAGGTTATATTCAGTGAAAAGAAGATCGATGATGATGTGTAGTCTAGGCAGCGAATACTTTGAAATTCGTTGTGAGAGGAGTGCACTGCAAGATGTAACTGATATATATTGCTACCCAAGACCGATCTAAATTTTTACTTGCTTACCACTGAAGGTTGTCCTTTGAATAGTCTCAGTATCGTGGGCGGGGGAGAAGTTTTTGGAATAGCAACAGTCATATCGTAAATGGCTGGGACAAAAGAACGCATATTACTAACAGCTGACACAAAACCCTGAAATAAAAATACAAGCCAAGTAATTATGGCAGCAAACACAATATCAAACACCACGTCAATATAGTGAAAGCGTAAGTATAATATAGATCCACATATAAAGGCTACAAAAATCCAGACCATGCATTGGGATTTTGCTCTTTAAAGGTCACAGTTAGATGATGAAGTTGCCCAAGGAATCAGCAATACGAAAAATAATACAACTTACTTTGGTGCGAGGAATCAACACATTTCGAGGGACAGGCAACCCAGATGAGGCTGCGTATTCTTGTGCTGCTTTAAGTTTGGCCTCTGTGAAGCGGGTTCCCTCCACAAAAAGGGCTAACCAGAAAGGTCGAGGGAAGTCATTCAAGCGCTGAAGTCCTGACTGTGAAATTACGACAAACACACATAACTTATGGGTTTTTTGTTTTGTTTAACATAACCTATTGGTTGGAAATGAAGATTCTGCATTTTCAGGGCAATGCCCCCATCAATGAGGTATATGCAAATCTTATAAGAATTTTACACAGGAGCAAATAGTAAATGAGTTACAGAAGAAGAGTAAAAACCCATACCTTTAAAGTGCTTTCATCTTTGGCCCAATTTCTTTCCAGAAACAGATACTCCGAGAACCACATTGACCAGCCTATGACCTGCACACATGTGACGATTCTATGTTTATGAATACTCTAGAGTATGCAACAGATATAAATGGAGAAGAAGTGTCAACCTAAAACAATAATATTTTGTCAAACCCAAAGCCAGGAGATTCAGAAATAACAATAAAAATTACTACTTTCTTTAAAATCTAGCTACTATATTCACTTACTGGAAGAAATTTGGAAGACTTCTTCATTACAGCTAATGCGCTTCCCAGGCAACCTGACCTCTGCAAGACAAGAAAATATGAAACAATAATTAACATGGAGCCTATTGAAGCAAATATGATGATGCTATATACTCTCTTATCTCATCAGTGGATCATTCGGGACTACAACCTTCTACCTAAGAGAATCTATATTCACTAGAAAGTAACACATGGTCACATTGCACATATACGAGCTTGGTTACCAAGAAGTCTATGTTGATCCCCATTTATGCATTTAATCAAAAATGATTGTTTAGAAAGATGATGAATGAAACTGCGTGATTAGATTATGTACCTGAGCCAGAATCCATCCCACAAGCCAATCAATATCACTTCGGTGATTACAAACGACAAGAGCATGTTCCTTGCCTGGAAGAAA